TTTGTGGTAGAATTGGTGTTACATCAAGTAATACAGATTTCTGTGTAGGTTCAACACGCTGTGTGAATGAGAGACTGAAGACTCCTTTAACTCCACGAGATCTCGGACTTGTTGCGAGACATATCGGGATGGGATTTGAGCATGTCGGGATTGAACTTGGGCTCAGCATTGTGGCTGTCCAACAGGGCAGAGTTGCACACCCATGTTCAATGTATATGCAGATCTTGATTATGCTCACTAAATGGAAGCAGTTTAATGGCAGTTCGGCCACCTATCTGGTCCTGGTCAAAGCACTATGGACATGTAAAGAGAGTTGCACGATCGAATGGGAGGACATTCTCAACATCCTGCAGTGGCGGTCCTCCTTGCCAGTGTAATTGCACCTTGGTAGAAGAAATATTACATAAATATGAAAACAAACTGTGTTTTTATCAATTCGACCATACCTTTTTACCTTGTTCCGAAATATTGTAATCTCAGGTCTACTATACAGCAATCAGTAAACAGGGAGCATATCATCAGTCATCATGTTTGGGAAAGAAATATATTTATCAAACCACTGTTTCTTTGTGTTTTCTGCATTTGCAAGTTTACCCCAAGAACACGTGGAGTCAGATTGTACCACTCGCGGCTGCTACCGGTTGGGCAGGACATGCGTACACTTTCGGAAGACGTGGTGTCATCAGTGATTATCAGTAATCGATTCCTATAGTTTTCCCCGCTATTTTGCCTTTTACGCCCAATGGAATGTGTTTCGGTAGATAATCAAGACTGGTTATTCTCTGGCGTTGTATATTTATTAAATTTAGAATGCTACGTATTCGAGCTTACATGGGAAATATCTCCCGGAAATACTGACAGTTGATAGTGATGCTTTTAATAAAGAATAAATCGTAAAATGGAGTCTGCTTACAACAGAGATTTCTTGTGATTATGCAAAGGGTTTTGGCGCTCTTATCCATGCAAACATCTCTGACGAATTCAAATACCTCCACCTCACAGTGATAGCAATGATTAATTACTCAGAAATTCACATACTTTCTAAATTAAATTGAATAAAAAACTGATTATTCAAGTCAGTAATCAGAACATATTCGTAATTCGTAATCACAGTGCTATACAACCTTCATATCGTACATCGTTTAAAATATTCAAACCGTCCCTCTGTTTATATCACTAGAAATAGCATAAGTAAGCGTATACGTTTTCTCTCCCTTTCTCACAACCTGAACAATAGGTTACAGGTACAATGGTTGTGGTGATCAAAAGATCAAAATTTCATGCACATGAGATGAAGAACAAATTTGCTCCATGGTATGATTTAAAACAGGAAAATACTATTTCCATTCTGGAAAATGAGTTCAACACAAAACAGAACATTTAAAGCCTTTTAAAAATCAGTGCACTTCATTTCATTATACCTTTCGTCATTATTACGTACATTTGCCACATTCAGAAAACAAAGTCATTTAAGCCCAGTACGAACAGCTACAGGTGATGCCTCTATTGACAATACGCCTGTTAGCATTTTACCCACAGTATCCAGGTCTCGTCAGGATAACTTCCGTACTTTTCAAATGCTAACATAATATCTGAAAACAGAGTTGCCTCCCTTTGACCAGCTACCGTAAACGTGGTATGCATTATTCAACCCTATCTATCCCTGACATTGTCTACAATTGACTTTGTTGACTGGATACAAGACAGGATAATGTTTGTAACGGCGTTGGTAGTACAGCTTGCGATAACATGTAATTGAAATGAAATCTTGATAATTTGAGATCGGCAAGGGACAATCACCATGTTTCGTCAATGTCGGGTGTGAGTGGGGCTGAATCTAATTTCCTTTCTAATTAAATCTCCAGAGTGTGTGAGTGAGTGAGTTGGGTTCAACGCTGCTTTTAACAGTATTCCAGTTATATCACGGCGTGTCAGCTTAATGTGACAGGAAAGCCCGAAGTGATGCAAGTCTCAGACGTTTACCACTTCGGTGAAACCCACGAGCATGGGTATGGTTTTGACAAACCTAGAAACATAATCTGGGCGCACCGGGATTCGAACCCACAATCACAGGTTTCTGGCGTGCCCAAGGGACGCAACTCTGCACAGAAAACGGCGGCGCCTTAGACGACTGGGCCACTCGTACCCCGAAAATCTTCAGACCTGACTTCACAAACAATATTCAGTATACGTTTGCCGAGCATAAATAAGCAGGCATTTTATTTATTTTTTTCCCTTAATTGTTTCATTCTCTGTAGAGGTGAGGCAAGGCAAAATGAGGTTTGAGGTTTAACGTTGCGTTCAAGAATACTGCTCTTATATGAAGTGACGTGCATGCACGCGTATGTGTACATGTATGTGTGTCTGCTCATGTCGTTTTTACAGAACAAGCCACTGATACACCATGCCGAAGTTTTAACATGAATACTCACCTCTGACACAGTATACTGACCACAAATGGACCAGTCTTATCCCCTTAATGCTGAGCGCCAGCCGGGGTAACAAGAGCACCACAATTAAACGTTACTGGGCAGATACTCTCTCCCTTTACGCAGATGCTTAACGAAGTTCAGGTGTGGTATACATACCCTCAATATACAAGTATACAGACACTCCAAAGATAATGAGGTTTTAACATCGATGTGTCCTTTCTGCAAATATAACCAAGAAAATGAATACCATGTTTTATTGATATGTCCAGTATTTGAGGATATAAGAATCAAATACCTGCCTGACTATTATTACACGTATCCATCACAAAGAAAATTTGTACAGTTAATGAACAGCAAAAATAGCCATATTCTTCTCAGACTTGCAGTTTGTGTTTATAAGATATTTGAAAGAAGGATAATACATTGAATATAAATAAAACTGTGTACACCATATTTAGCTACAATCTAATCAGTATACAAGTGTTGCTTCACGACGGATTGTTTTACAACAAAATGTCATTGTGCTATTGGCCTCATGGCCACACATACGAAATAAATCTTTCTGATACTCGATCCATAAGACAATGGAGGCGGTCTAGCCCACTTTATTTCAGAGCAAGGTATTTACAAATGCAATGGTGTATGATGACAATTCTAGCAGGCTTCATCATCACACATGTAATGTGCTTGCAAAACATGCTGCTTATTTATGCCATGTAACCTGGATAACTTCCTTCAATTGTTAGTTTGTTTTGGTTTGGTTTTGCGTATTTTCTTTATTTGCTTATAATAAACAAAGACACTTATTTGTCTTTTTCACAGGGAATTTTTTATTTAGATAAGTCTAGTAAATATAGTTTGTGATTGGTTCTGATTATGATACACGCTGCACTGGTATGGCTCAGTCTGTGTGACTTCACTGCGTTTGGATAAGCACCTTTTTCTACCTGTATGCATATTCAGATATATACACATAAAGGAACTATCGGACCCAATTGCCTCGAACTTCTGGGGACCAAAGAAATAGTTCGACTTCTCCGAAATATTTGAATTCGACCTGGATCTTGATTAGTTCTACCTTTTAACTTTGGGGACCGTAAATTGAACTCAAAACACCCATTTCGAGCATTCAGGTAACAATAATAGAAAACGGTTCAAACTATATTGCCAAATCAGTAAATCAGCACAAAATACAAATGAACAAAAAACAACTTCTATTGAAAAACATAATTGTAGGTCTACAGTCACAAAGGGGTTATACAATGGGTCAACTATGGGCAATACATAACAGGCCATTTAACTAATGCAGCACTAACAAGAGTTATCTGATGATAAAAGTATATTAATTACACCATGAATGTTAGTAGAATAGTTCGCTCCTTAGATACGTTTTCAGATACAATGTTTGTAATAAAAACGATATCTTACGGGAATTCGTTCAGTGATCTATCACATAATATGTCACATAAGAATATGTTTGATATCATGGAAGAATGTAATACAGGTTGGTTTTCCCAATGGCTATATAGTCTGTATTTGTTCAAGGGACACAGCTCAAAGAATTCTATTTGATCTTGTCTTGGCAAACATGAAAATGCTATCATGGAAATTAATAGGATAAATTGCTTTGAAATAAAACAATCATTATATTCCTGAATATGTGGTCACCGTGAACATACTTTAAAGTCTATATTGCATGTACAACAGGTTACATGGCTTCGTATTGGGTGTGAGACTTCACAACTCTGACACTGGAAAGGGTGCAGAAACAAATCAAAGTGACAATACCGACTATGATAGAAAGACACCAACGTGTTCCTGCAAGTACATATTTTACACAGTGACATGTAGCTGCAAACATTCATTGTGTACGTCAATCTGAACTCACTCCCACTAATTACAACAAAACACTTTGCTTTAAGAAAGTTCGGAACACACTGAAATCTGCATATGTCCAGTTGGAAACTGTAAGAAACTGTTATGTAATTTTCTAAACATAAATGATTTTGTCGGCATGAAGTTAGCCATGTTCCTAGAATTTGTAAAGTACAATGGTTTTTCTATGGAATTGAGATCCATACAGAAACGCCAAAACTACATCGACACAAATCACTCCCACTACTTTCAACATAACACAGGGGCACGAGTGGCCCAGTCGTCTAAGGTGCCGCGATTCGCTGTGCAGAGTTGCGTCCCTTGGGCACGCCAGAGACCTATGATTGTTGGTTCGAATCCAGGTTCGCCCAGATTATGTATCTAGGTTTGTCAGCACCATATCCGTGCTCTTGGGTTTCACCGAAGTGGTAAACGTCTGAGACCTGCATAACTTCGGGCTTTCCTCCCATATTTAACTGTCACGCCGTGATATAACTGGAAAACTGTTAAAAGCAGCGTTAAATCCAACTCGCACACTCACTCAATTCAACTTAACACAATGCCCCAGGAAAGTTTGGTACACACTGAAAGGTGCATATGTCCAGTTAGGAACATTTGAAAGAATCTATTATGTAATCCTCTACGCAACGTAAAGGACTTTTTTCGACATGAAGTTAGCTATGGTCCATTAGCTATGGAATTGATATGCTTACCGAAACATCAATGCTACATCGACACAAATGACAAATAACTCGTTATTTTCTGCATCCCAAATTCAGACGACTGACCCCTAATGGAGGTTGTAAAACTGTATATGTATACTGTATCACTGGACACCATAATAACAAGTGGGAACATGACTTGAGTTTCCATATATGGTTTCTGATCTTTGATTTGGTGAACGTATCTCCATGTGTGCAGGATCTGTATGGAGGTTGTTAAGATTTCCGTCTATATGATATGGTTGGGATGACTGCAAGGCGATCTCTTCCATAACACTTTGTCTGTCTGTGGAAACTGCTTGTCCCAGTTGACTCGGAACATAAACCCCTGGCAATTCTCCTGATGTGTGCTTCACGGGACAAGTTGATGTTGGTGGGTTGGATGTAAGCCAACCGCCATTGTTATAGCTTCCGTATGGAACTGACGATGATTTTATAAGAAACTGGCCATCGGTTGTCACCCTGAAACAATACCACATGCACTTGACACAACATTTCAGAGAAAATAGGACTTAATCAAAATAGTGATGCTATTGTGACATATAATACAAAATCAAGATGTAAAAGCCTCCAGCGCTTTCGAATTCGTATCTAATGAAAAAGACTCCAACTAAATGGAAGCCCCACATACTCATAAACGTAAACCAACGAATCATTCATTATTATAGACAGTGAAGCCTAATCCAGTTAAAATATTGGTTAACATAATTTCAATGTTTTTGCAAAGTCCCCACTGACATATGTAGCCCATGGAAAATAAGGTTTCACTTGGAACAAATAGCAATAGAGTTCATTTCACCAAAATGCATCTCTACAAGGTCCCCAAAACAACATACTTAAAGTCCCAAGCAATCCCAGTTTGGGAAATATGTCTAATTTACATAATTCAATATGGAAACCATCTCTCAATAGTATTTTCCTTATTTCAGATGAGGTTCAATGTTTTGATGAAAAACAGCATGTGTTGTGTTGCAAAATAGTCATATTACGTTTCTAAAAAGATATTCACACGTATTGATCGTTTTCGACTATTGACAAATCTACAAAACATCAAGATGGCCGGCAATTTCAAGATGGCCGACACATTTCCTAAATATGAGTTTAGACTGTTGAAGCTTTTATCTCTGAAACAGTGTGCTGGGACTTATATGCATAAAACTTGTCACACTAACTGACTGGCCCAAAATTCCAAGATGACCTCCAAGACATGGTCAGACATGGAATATCAATACACTGTTGTTCTCTCATGACATATTTGATTGATTGATTTGGGACTTTTAGTATGTTGTTTTGGGGTCTTGTAGAAATGCTCTGTCTATATTCTTTATTTAGCTGAAATAGATATTTTGATTTATTGTCTGATGGTACAGTCCTCTTCGAGGTATCATATGGTTTCGTGAGGTTTCAAAACTGTTATGCAAAACAGCGTATACAATATATGTGTTTGGGCTGTCAACTCAAGCATCATTTCCACATTGCTCTTACCTATCTATAATTGTACCATGATTGGTTGTCAGGTCATGTATATTTGTTGCCTCAGTTATAATCCTTGCAATATCATCGTGATGTTGTGCCTCTGCTTTTTGTAAAGCAGTTTCTTCTTTATCGTCTTTCTCTTAAACATTTGCGTTGTTCTGTAATAACACCTCCACAACCTCCATGTATCCCTGCCAGGCTGCATCATGTAGAGGTGTGCAGCCTTTCTTATCTTTCTCATCCACATTTGCCTTGTTCTGTAATAACACCTCCACAACCTCCCTGTGTCCCTGCCAGGCTGCATCATGTAGAGGTGTGCTGCCTTCCTTATCTTTCTCATCCACATTTGCCTTGTTCTGTAATAACACCTCCACAACCTTCCTATGTCCCTGCCAGGCTGCATCATGTAGAGGTGTGCTGCCTTCCTTATCATTCACATCCACATTTGCCTTGTTCTGTAATAACACCTCCACAACCTCCCTGTGTCCCTGCCAGGCTGCATCATGTAGAGGTGTGCAACCTTCCTTATCTTTCTCATCCATATTTGCCTTGTTCTGTAATAACACCTCCACAACCTTCCTATGTCCCTGCCAGGCTGCATCATGTAGAGGTGTGCGGCCTTCCTTATCTTTCCCATCCACAATTGCCTTGTTCTGTAATAACACCTCCACAACCTCCCAATGTCCATGCCAGGCTGCAAGATGTAGAGGTGTGCTGCCGTCTTGATGTTTCTCATTCACATTTGACTTGTTCTGTAATATCACCTCCACAACCTCCCTACGTCCCTGGTAGGCTGCCTCATGTAGAGGTGTGTTGCCATCATCACGTTTTTCATCCATATTTGCCTTGTCCTGTAATAACACCTCCACAACCTCCCTATGTCCCTGGTAGGCTGCAAGATGTAGAGGTGTGCTGCCATCATTACGTTTTTCATCCACATTTGCCTTGTTCTGTAATAACACCTCCACAACCTCCCTATGTCCCTGCGAGGCTGCATCATGTAGAGGTGTGCTGCCATTATAACGTTTCTCATTCACATTTGCCTTGTTCTGTAATAACACCTCCACAACCTCCCTATGTCCCTGGTAGGCTGCATCATGTAGAGGTGTGCTGCCATCATTCCGTTTCTCATCCACATTTGCCTTGTTCTGTAATAACACCTCCACAACCTCCCTATGTCCCTGGGAGGCTGCAAGATGTAGAGGTGTGCGGCCTTTCTTATCTTTCTCATCCACATTTGCCTTGTTCTGTAATAACACCTCCACAACCTCCCTATGTCCCTGGTAGGCTGCATCATGTAGAGGTGTGCTGCCATCATTCCGTTTCTCATTCACATTTGCCTTGTTCTGTAATAACACCTTCACAACCTCCCTATGTCCCTGGGAGGCTGCACGATGTAGAGGTGTGCGGCCTTTCTTATCTTTCTCATCCACATTTGCATTGTTCTGTAATAACACCTCCACAACCTCCCTATGTCCCTGCCAGGCTGCAAGATGTAGATGTGTGTTGCTATCATTACGTTTCTCATTCACATTTGCCTTGTTCTGTAATAACACCTCCACAACCTTCCTATGTCCATGGTAGGCTGCATCATGTAGAGGTGTGCTGCCATCATTCCGTTTCTCATTCACATTTGCCTTGTTCTGTAATAACATCTCCACAACCTTCCTATGTCCCTGGTCGGCTGCATCATGTAGAGGTGTACGGCCTTCCATATCTTTCTCATCCACATTTTCCTTGTTCTGTAATAACACCTCCACAACCTTCCTATGTCCCTGGTAGGCTGCATCATGTAGAGGTGTGTTGCCATCATTCCGTTTCTCATTCACATTTGCCTTGTTCTGTAATAACACCTCCACAACCTTCCTATGTCCCTGGTAGGCTGCATCATGTAGAGGTGTGCTGCCATCATTACGTTTCTCATTCACATTTGCCTTGTTCTGTAATAACACCTCCACAACCTCCCTGTGTCCCTGGTAGGCTGCATCATGTAGAGGTGTGCTGTCATCTTGACGTTGCCGATGCACATTTGCCTTGTTCTGTAATAACACCTCCACAACCTCCGTTTGTCCACGGTAGGCTGCATGATGTAGAGGTGTGTTGCCATCATTACGTTTCTCATCCACATTTGCCTGGTTCTGTAATAACACCTCCACAACCTTCCAATGTCCCTGGTCGGCTGCATCATGTAGAGGTGTGCGGCCTTCCTTATCTTTCTCATCCACATTTGCCTTGTTCTGTAATAACACCTCCACAACCTTCCAATGTCCCTGGTCGGCTGCATCATGTAGAGGTGTGCGGCCTTCCTTATCTTTCTCATCCACATTTGCCTTGTTCTGTAATAACACCTCCACAACCTTCCTATGTCCCTGGTAAGCTGCATCATGTAGAGGTGTGCTGCCATCATTCCGTTTCTCATCCACATTTGCCTTGTTCTGTAATAACACCTCCACAACCTTCCTATCTCCCTGGTTGGCTGCATCATGTAGAGGTGTGCTGCCTTCCTTATCTTTCTCATCCACATTTGCCTTGTTCTTTAATAACACCTCCACAACCTTCCTTTCTCCCTGGTAGGCTGCATTATGTAGAGGTGTGCTGCCATCATTCCGTTTCTCATTCACATTTGCCTCGTTCTGTAATAAGACCTCCACAACCTCCCAATGGTCCTGGACGGCTGCAAGATGTAGAGGTGTGTTGCCATCATTACGTTTCTCATTCACATTTGCCTTGTTCTGTAATAACACCTCCACAACCTCCCTGTGTCCCTTGTTGGCTGCATCATGTAGAGGTGTGCTGCCATCATTCCGTTTCTCATTCATATTTGCCTTGTTCTGTAATAACACCTCCACAACCTCTCTATGTCCCTGGGAGGCTCCACGATGTAGAGGTGTGCTGCCTTCCTTATCTTTCTCATCCACATTTTCCTTGTTCTGTAATAACACCTCCACAACCTCCCTGTGTCCCTGCCAGGCTGCATCATGTAGAGGTGTGCGGCCTTCCTTATCTTTCTCATCCACATTTGCCTTGTTCTGTAATAACACCTCCACAACCTCCCAATGTCCATGCCAGGCTGCAAGATGTAGAGGTGTGCTGCCTTCTTGATGTTTCTCATTCACATTCGACTTGTTCTGTAATATCACCTCCACAACCTCCCTGTGTCCCTGGTAGGCTGCCTCATGTAGAGGTGTGCTGTCATCTTGACGTTGCTCATGCACATTTGTCTTGTTCTGTAATAACACCTCCACAACCTCCCTATGTCCCTGCCAGGCTGCAAGATGTAGAGGTGTGTTCCCATCATTACGTTTCTCATCCACATTTGCCTGGTTCTGTAATAACACCTCCACAACCTTGCTATGTCCCTGGGAGGCTGCATCATGTAGAGGTGTGCTGCCATCATTACGTTTCTCATTCACATTTGCCTTGTTCTGTAATAACACCTCCAAAACCTTCCTATGTCCCTGGGAGGCTGCATCATGTAGAGGTGTACGGCCTTTCTTATCTTTCTCATCCAAATTTGCCTTGTTCTGTAATAACACCTCCACAACCTTCCTATGTCCCTGGTGAGCTGCATCATGTAGAGGTGTGCTGCCATCATTCCGTTTCTCATTCACATTTGCCTTGTTCTGTAATAACACCTCCACAACCTTCCTATGTCCCTGGTCGGCTGCATCATGTAGAGGTGTGCGGCCTTCCTTATCTTTCTCATCCACATTTGCCTTGTTCTTTAATAACACCTCCACAACCTTCCTTTGTCCCTGGTAGGCTGCATTATGTAGAGGTGTGCTGCCATCATTCCGTTTCTCATTCACATTTGCCTTGTTCTGTAATAACACCTCCACAACCTCCCAATGTTCCTGGACGGCTGCAAGATGTAGAGGTGTGTTGCCATCATTTCGTTTCTCATTCACATTTGCCTTGTTCTGTAATAACACCTCCACAACCTCCCTATGTCCCTGCCAGGCTGCATCAAGTAGAGGTGTGCTGCCATCATTCCGTTTCTCATTCATATTTGCCTTGTTCTGTAATAACACCTCCACAACCTCTCTATGTCCCTGGGAGGCTGCACGATGTAGAGGTGTGCAGCCTTCCTTATCTTTCTCATCCACATTTTCCTTGTTCTGTAATAACACCTCCACAATCTCCCTGTGTCCCTGCCAGGCTGCATCATGTAGAGGTGTGCGGCCTTCCTTATCTTTCTCATCCACATTTGCCTTGTTCTGTAATAACACCTCCACAACCTCCGAATGTCCATGCCAGGCTGCAAGATGTAGAGGTGTGCTGCCGTCTTGATGTTTCTCATTCACATTTGACTTGTTCTGTAATATCATCTCCACAACCTCCCTATGTCCCTGGTAAGCTGCCTCATGTAGAGGTGTAGGGCCATCATCACGTTTTTCATCCACATTTGCCTTGTTCTGTAATAACACCTCCACAACCTCCCTATGTCCCTGGTAGGCTGCAATATGTAGAGGTGTGCTGCCATAATTACGTTTTTCATCCACATTTGCCTTGTTCTGTAATAACACCTCCACAACCTCCCTATGTCCCTGCCAGGCTGCAACATGCAGAGGTGTGTTGCCATCATTACGTTTCTCATTCACATTTGCCTTGTTCTGTAATAACACCTCCACAACCTCCCTATGTCCCTGGGAGGCTGCACGATGTAGAGGTGTGTGGCCTTTCTTATCTTTCTCATCCACATTTGCCTTGTTCTGTAATAACACCTCCACAACCTCCCTATGTCCCTGGTAGGCTGCATCATTTAGAGGTGAGCTGCCATCATTACGTTTCTCATTCACATTTGCCTTGTTCTGTAATATCACCTCCACAACCTCCCTATGTCCCTGGTAGGCTGCACGATGTAGAGGTGTGCGGCCTTTCTTATCTTTCTCATCCACATTTGCCTTGTTCTTTAATAACACCTCCACAACCTCCCAATGTCCCTGCCAGGCTGCAAGATGTAGAGGTGTGTTGATATCATTACGTTTCTCATTCAAATTTGCCTTGTTCTGTAATAACACCTCAACAACCTTCCTATGTCCATGGTAGGCTGCATCATGTAGAGGTGTGCTGCCATCATTCCGTTTCTCATTCACATTTGCCTTGTTCTGTAATAACACCTCCACAACCTTCCTATGTCCCTGGTCGGCTGCATCATGTAGAGGTGTGCTGCCTTCCTTATCTTTCTCATCCACATTTGCCTTGTTCTGTAATAACACCTCCACAACCTTCCTATGTCCCTGGTAGGCTGCATCATGTAGAGGTGTGTTGCCATCATTCCGTTTCTCATTCACATTTGCCTTGTTCTGTAATAACACCTCCAGAACCTTCCTATGTCCCTGGTAGGCTGCATCATGTAGAGGTGTGTTGCCATCATTACGTTTCTCATTCACATTTGCCTTGTTCTGTAATAACACCTCCACAACCTCCCTGTGTCCCTGGTAGGCTGCATCATGTAGAGGTGTGCTGTCATCTTGACGTTGCTCATGCACATTTGTCTTGTTCTGTAATAACACCTCCACAAACTCCCTATGTCCCTGGGAGGCTGCACGATGTAGAGGTGTGCGGCCTTTCTTATCTTTCTCATCCACATTTGCCTTGTTCTGTAATAACACCTCCACAACCTCCCTTTGTCCATGGTAGGCTGCATGATGTAGAGGTGTGTTGCCATCACTACGTTTCTCATCCACATTTGCCTGGTTCTGTAATAACACCTCCACAACCTTCCTATGTCCATGGTAGGCTGCATCATGTAGAGGTGTGCTGCCATCATTCCGTTTCTCATTCACATTTGCCTTGTTCTGTAATAACACCTCCACAACCTTCCTATGTCCCTGGGAGGCTGCATCATGTAGAGGTGTGCGGCCTTTCTTATCTTTCTCATCCACATTTTCCTTGTTCTGTAATAACACCTCCACAACCTTCCTATGTCCATGGTAAGCTGCATCATGTAGAGGTGTGCGGCCATCATTCCGTTTCTCATTCACATTTGCCTTGTTCTGTAATAACACCTCAACAACCTTCCTATGTCCATGGTCGGCTGCATCATGTAGAGGTGTGCGGCCTTCCTTATCTTTCTCATCCACATTTGCCTTGTTCTGTAATAACACCTCCACAACCTTCCTATGTCCCTGGTAAGCTGCATCATGTAGAGGTGTGCTGCCATCATTCCGTTTCTCATTCACATTTGCCTTGTTCTGTAATAACACCTCCACAATCTTCCTATGTCCCTGGTAGGCTGCATCATGTAGAGGTGTGCGGCCTTCCTTATCTTTCTCATCCACATTTGCCTTCTTCTTTAATAACACCTCCACAACCTTCCTATGTCCCTGGTAGGCTGCATCATGTAGAGGTGTGCTGCCATCATTCCGTTTCTCATTCACATTTGCCTTGTTCTGGAATAACACCTCCACAACCTCCCAATGGTCCTGGACGGCTGCAAGATGTAGAGGTGTGTTGCCATCATTACGTTTCTCATTCACATTTGCCTTGTTCTGTAATAACACCTCCACAACCTCCCTGTGTCCCTTGTTGGCTGCATCATGTAGAGGTGTGCTGCCATCAATTCGTTTCTCATTCATATTTGCCTTGTTCTGTAATAACACCTCCACAACCTCCCTATGTCCCTGGGAGGCTGCACGATGTAGAGGTGTGCGGCCTTTCTTATCTTTCTCATCCACATTTGCCTTGTTCTGTAATAACACCTCCACAACCTCCCTATGTCCTTGCCAGGCTGCATCATGTAGAGGTGTGCTGCCATAATTGTCTGTCACATGACTTATTCCCTTGTTCTGTAATAACATTTTAACAACTTCTGCATTCCCATATATACATGCCAAATGAAGTCCAGTTTCACCCTTCTTGTTTGGCTTACCAATGTCCAGTACTTCCTGTAACAGGTAGCTTACATTGCTAACATTTCCAACTGCACATGAGTAATGAAAAGGTGTTGATCCTTCAGGACCTATGATATTGATGCTACGTTGTCCCTTCTTTATAACTATATCCATGATATCTTTGCCCTTTTGACACATGGCTGCATAATGTACATAAGTATTCTTTCTTGAACTGTTCTTGTTCTGGCTCGTCTTCATCAAATGTGACAGTCTGGAAGCCACTGTAGACAACCCACCCATACAGGCAATGTCCAAAAGTGAACATTTACCAAACTTTACTCTCAGATCATCTACAACTGCCAACTGCAGTTTGATGATAAGAGGTCTTGGGAGCTCGGGTAGCGTCATACACAACATATCCAACTTCCAGTTATTTTTGGAACACAAGTAATCGAAGTTGGCCAAACTACTCCCAAAGCAACTTCCAAACAAGGCTTCCTGTCTGTTCTTTACCTTAAACTGAACACTGTTCAATGCTTTCTTCAGCAAATTCGAGTTGCCTGTGACGCTCGCCCAAAACAGAAAGGAATATCCATATATAATGTCATTTTTTGACAATACTTTCAACAGTTCAGATCTGTCCTTGTTCAGATTATGCAAGAGATTCTCCCAAACCATATTAACAAATGTCTCTACCTGGAATAGTGAATGCATGCACACAAAGGCAAACTTTCTGTCATGTACAGCTGCAACAAACCGCCTTGCTACAATATGCAGATCATCATGTTTCAATTCGATTTTAAAAGGCACATCTAGTTGTTCCTCTTCGGTTGGATCACCTCTAAATGTCACATAACGAAATATGAACTCGAGATCCATCCTTTCAACCAACTGTCCCACATCACTGAGCAGTATTTCTCTTAGCTTTATTGCTACTTCATGATTTCTTATTCTATATGACCCTGATTCATGATGGAGACAGCATCCCGCCAATTGGGATAAAATAGGTTTCATCATATTTTCAGTGTATTCTTCTTCATTGATGTCAAAAACCTTGAGTGCCCAAACAATATATTTTTTGTAGGTTTCTCTTTCCACGCGAGTCCCTGTGTCAGACCCTGCCCATAGCATCCTCTCCTCCAGGTTATTCTCCGCCAAAGCAACCACTAACAAGCATGCCATCTTCTGCTTATGCAACAGGTGCTGATCCAAACATGGATAGTCCTCTGTATCTGTGAAAACAAATAACGTTTGTAAGAAAGCAGTGTACAACATTGCACATGTAGATCTAAAATATAATACCTTGCGTAACGCCTTACAATTACGTAACATAGTAATGATCTCCAGAATGCATACTTTCATCACTGGCGATAGCACAGTCGGTTCCTTCATGTGTTTCATGTCCATCCTCTTCATGAATAGTTGGACCTCCTTGTTCTGTTGTCATTGTACAGCTATTTTCCAGTACATCTCTTGTCTCCAGCGTTACAGTTTGAATTTCGTTTGTGACATTACCCTGTCGATCAACTGCCATCATGTGATTTCGTCCACCATGCATATCTCCCTTGTCCTTGGCATACTGTAGTATCCTCTGAAGTACATACAGCCTGTATTTCTCAACGTGACAGTTCCTCATGATGCCTGGAGACTTCTCCGACAAAATTGCATCAGCAGCCTGAGAATATGAAGGTTAGAAATGAAAAGGTATCGTTCATACGTGGTTTTTGAGACACATGTTGCCTTTCATATCAAAAACATAGCTTCAAACCAACCTACCATCAGAACGAATATCCCACAGCTGTGTCCATCTGACTGTTCTATCCCCGGGTACTGTTTCTTCATCCATGACTTGCTCCTTTCCTTAGACGTAGATTTCAAGTGGTTTACAAAGAGCCTGAGGAATACATGTATATTACTCGATGGCAATAAAGTCTTCAACTCATGTGGACTGGTGCTAAAGTAAAGGTAGAACAGAAGGTAAATACAGCAGTGCCTAAAATATCCGGTCCTGGCATTTCTGATGTTCTCTCCTGCTTTGTCCATAATTAGGTTTTATGTTAGCAAATACAGATGTTATGGTTTAAATGAATGAGTGACATAACTGTATTTATGGCGTTTAAATCATTCACACAGTGTACCCATTTGGGGAACTGGGTAACCCTGTGAACAAGTTGTTCTATATCTTCTACCCAAAAGTAAAAGCTACAAATGTGGGTGTATCGAACATTTTTCGATGGATCTTATTTACATTCATGTTTGTTTTTGAGAAATCAACATTTCAACATTTCAAATTGGATAGCTATTTTTAACATTTATAATGTGCAGCCACACGTCCTCTTCTTTTTTTTTTATCTACCTCTAGTGTTGTACAAATGAGTGTTCTACATATAAGGCGGGTTTAGAATTGACCACGCCCACTGTTCTGTCCACCTACCTCCAGTGTTGTACAACCTTGTCCTCCACATCTAAGGAGGGTTTAGAATTAACCACGCCCACTGTTCCATCCTTGACATTAGCCACCAGTAGCACCCAATGTTGATTACGTGGCATGTTCACTGGCATTAAGATCCACGTGTAGTTTGTCAAATTTTCCTGAAAGTTCACAACAAATGCCTTTCCGGTGTACGATCAATATATCAAGAAACACGTGCTTCACATAAGATGGATATGATGCAGTAACAGAGATATTAGTGAATTGGTATGATCTTGGAACTTAGAACTTCTAAAGACCCCTCTCTGACAACCAGATTTTCACTTCGTAAAATAATATGTAGCAAGACGAATATGTTCATGTGCAATATCTGCTTTTGTAACTGCATATTGAAAACGAATAGCATTATGATCAATGGGGTTACTGGCTTTGACTCAATTGAAACCCATTGCAGCATATGGTCGCTTCGTGCGCACAATTGCAAGTGACAACTTCTAGCATGCCGAATACGCAATCATGGCATAGACGAATCATATGTTATCACAAAAAACATACAATTATTACAAAGTATCTTTCGAGTCTTGCCCTTGTTCTTGGTAGGGTGGACATGCAATGGTACACTCAGAATGAAAGAATTATAAGAAATATAAAAATCTCACGTCACTCACATCTTTCCCCCTTATTCTGTCTGTGTACTGTCCTGCCTCCCACAGTAGGATTGTCTCTGTAGGCAGCACCAGACAGTGGAAGCTGACACGGGAACACCACTCTCTCTCCAGGAGGTGCAGGTATATGTCCATGATCTGGACAGGAAAGAGTTCATTTATTAGAATGTTTATTATACTGTTTAATCGCCAAATGCGTTTGCTTCAAAAGGAACGCTTGTAATTTCAAATCAAAGCAGGATCCGCTGCACATCACATATTCATCATGAAGAGAATATATCGGCTGTTAGCAATGACTGACAATTTGACTGGTGATGTACTAGATTTTGTGTACAATGCCCATTGCAGGTGAGTAGTGCCATCATTGCAGAATCGAGATGCATGGCAATGAGTTGATAATTAGCACCATTATATGAATTGATAGTTAACTAATACTGGTGTAACAAGAAGAAACCGCCAAAAGTTGCTGTATTAATCTTAAGATGGGGTCTCAGTGGTCCAAGGCGCCGCATTTCGCTATGCAGATTCACCATGGGAATCAACAAAGTGGTTAACGTCAAAGATGTGCATTACTTTCTTCATAATTTAATCCAACGCACCATGACACCACGCCTACCTCAAGGCACTATCAATGAGTATTAGGTGACTGAACAACTCACCACCCTCACGCCTCCAGTTTATATCTAATACTAACATCATTTGATGAAATCGAAAGCCTCCCATGCTCTATGAAATGATTTTCTTGGATGGTTAACTAGGCATGTAGTTTGTGTGATTGTGTAAATATTGCAGGTGGACTACTTACTTCATCTGTCAGCCACTCGTTGGTTTCCAGGCGAGACAGAACATCTCCTCTGATGGTGTAGCAGCCAACTGTGTATGTACAGTCACGTGACAGGGGGACGTCCTCTTGTACATGCTGCAGGTGTGAAGGAGGATCCTTCAGTGTTTTCACAAAGTCGTAAACTTCAGTTCTGGTATGACATGCTCCAACAAGTACTGCTGCGATGAGCTTTATGTAAACTGAACCGTCTTGGTTCCAGCTCAGACCGTCAGTATTAACAGCACATTTAACCCAGTTCCTTGCTTTAATTGCATCTAGATTCCAGTTCTTGTCGACCTCTTCAATGAGTGACAAGCACGGATTGCCTTTGTTGGTACAGTCCTTGTTCCAGAACCTAGATAATGCTAGGACATGTTGCACGACCTTTATCACATCACGATTCCTTTCTACTTCTTCTAGAAATGTGTACAGATAAACGTAGGGTGTGTTAGTGACACAGGTTGCAACTGTGTTGTCATTGTCAACCTGAGGCTGCAAACGAGGTTTCTTGACAGGGGAGCCTGACGTTGTACCCAAATATTCAATGTCATCATCACTTCTATGATCTCCTGACCTGCAGCGTTTCTGATTTGTGTCATGATCATTCTTTGTTTCGGTCTCTGACACCTTTGCTTCATTCAATGTTACACCTAGAATAGTGTTTGATTTACCGTTATTTTCCAATTCTGTCGGTGATGAATGAACTTCAGGGTCCAGGTTGGAGTTAGTGTTCTCCGTGACCCCCGACTGCACAGCTCTACCAGTTGATTCTACTTTCCTACATTTACTGTCACCTGAGGTATTAACTGTCTGTTGACCACGCTTCTTGCGTTGGGGAGCAGGCTGTGCTTGTGTGTGGTCCCCGATATATTGCACTAGGACGTGTTTCAGAGGCTGGTTGTACAGATACGATGCTTCTCTGACAAAGGCCCTTGTTGTCGCCTTGTCCTCGGTGTAAGCCTTGTGGTACTGCTTCACTATGACTGGACTTAAGCCAGGCTGCTTCCGAGTTCCATCACTTCTGAAGTGATATTTGTCATCCTTCCAGATATCTGCAAATAGAAATTAATATCATAACATTGCAAACAATGTTGTAATCCTGAAGATGAACTATCCCTCAAAATTCTTTGTGTGTTAGTGTGTCACCTGTGATGTAGATGTTAATTAATAAAACTGTGAACAGTCAATAGTGTAACATAACTCTAAAATCAACCCACCTTAATGCCAAATCAGCTGTAAGGTCATGCATAAATATGTTGTATTAGAGGTTGTGATGATAAATACCATGTCCTTTTTTCCTTCTCTGAGATGCAACACGATGCTTGATTCTTGTTTAGCCAATATTGATTAATCCAACAATGGATTTTCTACTAGTTGACATCAAACAATGTTCATTATTTAAGTACACAATTGTTGTAGAGGGGATGGAAAGAGTAAATAGAAAAACAAAGATAGAACATAAGTAAAAGAAGTCGTTTTGATGATGATACAGACAAATAAACTTAATTCACGTAGTCACTTATTTGCACGACTATCACTTGTCAACAATATTAGCAAACATAAAACCGGTTATCACAGGGCTGTACAAGGAAGCTGATACCAGGGCAGGGTGACCCCGACGTCAAGCAGACTATTACTAATAACGTACATGTATATGAATGTGGCTTTGAGGACATTGGTCATGTGTACTTAACAACCCCAATGAATTCAAATTGTGTAAAAAATAATATCAGCTTTCCATGAAATATTAACATTGTTCATATGTATTAATCCCTGACTCATGGTAATATTAAGCCTGAACACAACTGCCTCACCTTCTCTCATTCCCGAGGTTATCTTATAGAGGTACACCTCCCCTCCATGGGGTGTGGCGGGGGCAGTCTGGATGGTCTTGCTCTCATCCCGACTCCTCAGAATGTTAACAATTTCCTCCACTTTAAGGGCTGATGTTCTCCCTGTCCGGTAAGGCTCGGGTGGTTTCGGATTAGGCGCCATTTTGTCAAGTTATTAATAGTCACATGAGTCACACAGGCGTGATAAATAATCGGTTGTTCACTTGAACCTGTAGATGACAAAAGGTTATATGCTGAACTACATCCAAGCATGAATATTCTTATATACCCTGTATTTGTCTACGTATCAGTGTTGGTATTGTTATAACGCCTCAGGGCGTCATAAACGTCTCTCCTTGTACCGCAGGGGACTTTCTGTTATTGGTTTGTTGTTCTGTGTGTGGCTTGCGGGGAAAAATAAAGCGAGTCTGCCCAGGAAAATAGGTGGTTCGAGCCCCGGCCGCGTTTTACCAAACGACGTTAAATGATGATATTTGTTATTACCCTGCATTATTTCTGCAGTACACTGTGTGACCATATTTCAAGATGAGCATTGTACATGTCCGAGTAACAATCCAAAAAAGCGTCAGTCTTCGTGATCAGGTGAATCCACCTAATATACATACTTTATTGTGGTTTCAAATCAAGTCTTGATCAAAATATAACAAAATATTACAAATTACAATGTTGTTGTCTAGCGACATGACTAGAGAATTGTTACTGAGTAAGAAACCTTTATTGCCTGGTTCAACCTATGCTCACTGAGAGAATGAGTGAGTGAGTATGGTTTTACGCCGCTTTTAGCAATATTCCAGCAATATCACGGCGGGGGACACCAGCACATGGCTTCACATATTGTACCCATGTCAGGAATCGAACCCGGGTCTTCGGCGTGACGAGCGAACGCTTTAACCACTAGGCTACCCGACCGCCCCCTGACAAAATGAACTACACGTCACCGAGGATGTGTTTTTACAATTTTCATAATCACCTGTACCCAAACTAACACAGATATTCATACTTTATAATAATGTCTACCTCCACTGAAGTATCCCAGCATTGTCATTGTTCTAATGTTGAAATTTGGTTGATCTGAGTTTGCTTACTTGAAAATCATTGTATCAACATTGTTTCAGCTCCGTTCGATATTGAAATTTGTTTCAATCTGACTTTCAAATACGAAAAGTAAACACCTGGTGTCATCATTGATTTTCAGTGGTACATTCATACATAAAATTATTTATTCTCGTGCATTGACAATTATATATTGTGGAACGGCACCCTACCTTTAATTTTAACATCAATCGGTGTCATAGTGTACGAAAACCACTTGAGTGTGACATCATAACTCCAACGAACCTTTTGCCAGTCACTGCTACAATGTATATACGCCGGTATGTCAATCCGTGTAGTGACATATATTTATAGTCTTGCATGGTTGACGTTTGTCGGATGTTCGGACCTAGATCGGTTCAAACACTGTACCGTGGTTGTCAAAGGGGCATGTGCAGTTCGTGATCAGGTGTTACGTATTAGTTTCATCAAGGAACGGCTGTCAGCCAAATCCTCACCTGCACCGGAGTCATGTGAGATACGAAAACGCTCTCCCAACTTATGATGACTGTTAGGTATGCGGAAGCCATCAACTCCTCAATTAATTGTTGGGTTGCAGATACAAACAACTGGAACAGACAGACAGACAATGTATTTTCCTCTATAGCCTAGGCTCTATTCAACAGGGCAGAGTTGCACACCAATGTTCAATGTATATGCAGATCTTGATTTATGCTCACGATATGGAAGCAGTGGAATGGCAGTTCGGCCACCTATCTGGTCCTGGTCAAAGCACTCTGGACATGTAAAGAGAGATGCACGATTGAATGGGAGGACATTCTCAACATCCTGCAGTCCCTGTAATCTCAGTAATAATAAACATACAATAAATGGTGGAATCATGATATTTTGATATCGATATCACCCCTCCTGTACAGCGATCGGATGTGTCGAGGTAAAAGTGGCTATGTGATTTGCCTTCATGTATAGCAAATATATATAGTTACCACACCTATCGGGGGATTTTTCCGCTCCCTGTCTTGCCTGTGTAATAATATGAAATACTAAATTCGGAATGCTTTGGATTCCATTTGATCTGTGAAATATCGCTCAGAAATATACAAAGAATAATGAAAGATCGCAGTCTTGTGTTTTATCATATTTCAGTTAACTTGAATCGGAAGGAACATACACTACCGTGATGAACTCGGTAATGCGAACAACAATGATTTGTCACATATCCAACACTTCGTTTCCACGACTCAAGGTGGTGTCTTAGTAGTCTGATGCGTTGCAGATAGCTGTACATAATCAGCGTGACGAAATCCTATGATTGTGAGTTCGAATCCCAGATTTGTGCTGATTATGATTGTTGGTTTGTTAGAAACATACCCATGATCGGAGGTTCTGCCAAAGTGGTAAACGTGAATGATCTGCGCTATAGTTTTCCTCCAAGTTAAGTTGACACTGCATCAAATAACACATACTTATGATAAAGTCAGATTCGAAAAATCTGCGTTACGTTTGGCAGATATTTCTAATTATTCTCTGTTCTGTTCCATCATATCTCCATTTCAAAATGTTGATATATGATTGGTTCACGTGATCTTGATAAAATACTATGCATTCTGCCTGTGTGGAACATAAATGTCTCAGCGGGAGAATAATCGCTTATACCCCGCCACGAAGAAGACAGGCATCACGTGATCATTGAGCGGGAGAATGAATCCCTTCAACCCCGCTTCGAAGCAAAAAGCCGCACGCTTTTTCCGAGTCAGTGATAGTCGCGTGACATAGCACAAGCTATCCTCAGCTCAATCGAACATCTGTTTTCTATCAATTTTGAATTTGCTTCAATTCTTTAACAAGTGCAAATTAAAACATGTCAGTTAGATAAATTCGTTTTAGCAGTACCACGAGGGGTTCATGTTGTTTTATGCGTCCCGCCCTATGTTAAATACCACGAGCCGGAGGCTTATAATACTTCCACCTCACAGTGATAAAAAAACTTATTCAAGTGTTTGCAAACAGTAATCAGAACTTATTCGTAACGCCATTCATTTCCTTGCAATAAGCCTTTTGACGGTAGTCCGAAAATCCGAAAGTCTTGAAACGTACCATCCGCTTTACTATTTAGTAACAATTTAACTTTTAACAGAGTACCCCATACCACAGGTGATGTATAATTCTCACACGAAACAGAATAATAAATGTAACCACTGTTTTTTATGCAGTCGTGATACCAAGGTTTTTAACATGTTTTGCTCGTAATGTAAGTCAGTTTAATTTATTATATCCACATACCACAAGTGCATAAACTTAAACGTTATTGTCATGTTGAGAATCGAACCCGACGTAGTCGTTCGTCAAGCCATTCAAGTAAGCCTGTGTCATGGTACACGAGAAGGTAAATATATTTTCATTGTAAATGGAAAATTTCACTTCATTGGTCCGAAAACGCGACACCTTCAATCAGTCATTGTACGTTCAAACCAGATACACTTACGGGTAACATTTCTGTCCCATAGTTCAAATGTATAATTTATTCAATCACCAATTACTTGATATCTGACAATTGTTCTGATGCTTACTTCGCCTGTGTAACGTGGGTACGATATATTGACCATAAAATATTGAGTTTATCTGGGATAATCGTACATTGTTGTATACTATAACCATTCTGCATATTCCACTTCAGCTGATGAAGATTAGGTTTTAGCAGATATTCCTTTTATAATAATGAACAGAATTTTAACTATACATGATCCCTCAGTCTTCGCGGGATATATCGGGAGTAGATGCGAGGTGACGGAACTTCTTCCCATGCACATCGACATCAATCAAACAGTAGAACGTTCCACTAGACAATTAGTTCAAAGGAAGTTCTTCGTTATGCACTCATGTCTCAGTGAGACATCATTTATATCTATTCTGGCGGAAGTCAATTTTACACTACGTATTGATCACTGCCTGGTTATCTTATGCACTATTGACAACTACACAAGTTCAAGTGTTTTGTGCACACTTATATGATGCACACTTATATGATGAGACATTTGAATGTAGACAACTTGTTATATCATTTCCTCAATATAACAATCTACATCACTGCTCATATTTCCACTCATTTCTTCTTCATATTTTCAAGCCCATTCAGCACGTAAATAGAGGTTATCACGCGAGTGTGTTTGGGGATGGTAAATATCCTGCATTAGGAATAAACATTGTATTTAGCGAGCCTTGGCGAGCTAAATACATAGTGTTTATTCCTAATTCAGGATATTTACCATCCCCAAACACACAAGCGTGATAACCTCTTTATCATATAATGTCATTCTTTAATTCTGTGCTTCAAAATCGCTTTCCCTTTCTCACAAATATTACCAAAACATTGCGAGTTTTCCTGGAATGCGCGCATTAATATTTATTACGTCACAGGGTAAGTGATGTGTCAGTCGGACAGTGACAGTAGCCAATATAGTTCCAACTGAAATCTGTTTCTTATACAGTGGCGAAGCAACATATACGCAAAACAACAATTGTTTTTAATTGCCTTTCGCGGCAATCCATCGGTCTGTCCGCTAGAGTAACTGCCCTTTGTCAAAGGGAAGCTACTCTAACCCTAGTCTATGAGACGTCACGGCCACGGTCAGACGTTGTTGACAGTCGGTCTGTCCTGTCATAACGATAAGAAGTGTACTCATATGTACACACAGCGACAAAACGAAACAAGGTAACAATTCAAACATATTCCCGTCAAATCCAACTATTTTAATTTGTGGAGAAGGTTTCAAGCCGCAGAGGTCTACATGCACAGATATGGCTACTGATCCCGCTTGGCAAGGCCTCGTGCCCTCGCCAAATTGTTTCGAAATTTATATCTCCAAAGTTGCCAAAACTTATAAAATGCCTTAGTTGCGTCACAGTGAGACACAGATTTTCAGTATATTAGACTGTTCTTTTGATAATGATAGCAATTATCGCTGTAGTTAATCCAGATTCCCGATGGTTAATTCTGACTCGATCGCCGAATGACGAGTGCGACGCCATGTTTGTTTATAAACAGTGAAAGTAGTCCCTACTTGACCTTTGATATTTGCATCTCTATCCGCATATGACCCCAACGGATATCG